GTAATGAGTAGCTTAGATAATAACATTTAAAGAATATAGATAGCATTTAGAATACAGATAGCCACATCAGGAAGGACACTTACATTGATTTCAATGATCAGGGTTTTTTATGCTGCTGTTGTTGTTATTGTGGTTGTTTGAGGGTGTGGCATTTTACGTCAGGCATTTGTAAAGTGTAGCATTCTCGCTTATGTTTTAAACTGTCTGTGAATACAAAGTAGGTTCACAATCCATACCTATTCTTTCTCCTTTCCAGCAAAGTAGAATATGCTATCCTTATTGTTTTTGAAGCTGGAAATTATCATATGAATGGCGTCTAGTATTTTGGGACTCTGAAGTTTTTTTTCTTGTCTCATTTTTTCTGACAATTAAAGTGGTCAACAGTCTAAGTTTTCCCTAAGTCTTATAACATTGTATTCACTTTAAATGATCTGAAACACCCTTTGGCAGTACAATTAAGCACAATTAAACATTGAACCCTGTTGAACAGACCCTTACAACAAGAAGCAATAAGCATTTATTTATTCAGTAAGTTTAAATATACATATTAATAAGTATCCATGTTATGTTCGTTTTGTCCTTTTTATGTGTATGTTCCTTTTTGATTTCCGTGGTTTCTATAGACTATGATGTGAGAATTCATGATACATTCTTTCTTTTCCTGAAGTGAAGATAAATCAGATCTGCACTCTTGTACCAAATAAATGTTGACTGGTCATTTCCATTTCCAGATAAAGTACCTGATGCCCAGTTAATTTTAAGTGTATTTAAATTCAATTTGAATTTATTTGAATTTATATGAATATAATCTGTGAATATTATATACTTATAATAAAAAAATGATTTGCTGTTTAACTAAAATCCAAAATTGACTCAATATTCTATATTTTTAACTGCTTAATCTGGCAACACTACTAATAGTCTGACATTTGTAAACATTTCCAAATCATGGGAGATGTAATTTTGGACTTTTGATTTTTTATGCTGTTAAAAGTACATACATGATTCAGGTGACTTTTACCTTCCCTCACTGATTTCCTTCAAGTTCATCTTTGTTGCTTAGTTTTTGCAGCTTTGTCTCATTTCAGGACAAAAACAGCGAGGTGGAAGTAATCTTCTCATGGTCTACAGGCCTGCATTTTAAAATTATGTATAATATTTTATTCAGTTTTCAATTTACCCCTTTAGGTGGTAGGTTTATATATTTAATTCCTCAAGAATATTTTTTTGGAAAAAAATAATTATTTTTTTNCATTGCTAATTTATGTAAGGGAGTCATTTCCCTATTTATCCATTTATTTATTTGTTTGTTCATATGTATGTTTGTTTGTTTATTTTTGGCAGCTGGCCAGTTCAAAGATCCAAACCCTTGACTTTGGCATTCTAGCATCATGCTATAACCAACTGAGCTAGCCGGCCAGCCCTGGCCATTTATTATTTTAAGGAATTTGAGTGTTAGCTATAATTTCCTAATGGCAATTTTATCATTTCTTGTTGAATTATAAATTTTATATAATCTTGTACATTAAGCAGAAGCAGATTTCTTTTGTAGGTTTAAAATTTATACTTTTGAGTTGCATTGTATTATTAAGCTAGTGTTGAAGCCAGTTGACAGAGAAGGCACAAGGTGCTTACACCAAGATGTTTGAAGAAGATTAGACCAGAAGAAAATAAAGTTTATTCTAATGGGAATGATCTAAAACATCTGCAAAGTTATAAAAGAAAAAAAAATAGGTTTTGTCATCATCATCTTCTTTTAAAAAGCTTTTTATTTTTTCTTGATTTTAGAATAGGAAAAACATTCTATTTTGCTCAGTTAAATTATGGTAAAGCTCTGGGAATTTGGAAAATCAAATGGAGCTAGTAAATGAAAGNATATTCTATATTTTTAACTGCTTAATCTGGCAACACTACTAATAGTCTGACATTTGTAAACATTTCCAAATCATGGGAGATGTAATTTTGGACTTTTGATTTTTTATGCTGTTAAAAGTACATACATGATTCAGGTGACTTTTACCTTCCCTCACTGATTTCCTTCAAGTTCATCTTTGTTGCTTAGTTTTTGCAGCTTTGTCTCATTTCAGGACAAAAACAGCGAGGTGGAAGTAATCTTCTCATGGTCTACAGGCCTGCATTTTAAAATTATGTATAATATTTTATTCAGTTTTCAATTTACCCCTTTAGGTGGTAGGTTTATATATTTAATTCCTCAAGAATATTTTTTTGGAAAAAAATAATTATTTTTTTATATTGAAACTTAGAATAGAAACCTCTATTATTTTTCAATCTTCATTGAAAAATTAAGCTTTTGATGATATATCTACTTTCACTTTCACTGATATATTTTGTGCCTAGTTACTATTTGTGCCATTCTGTGTTTGAAAATAAATATTGTTACTATTCTATAATTAGAGTTCTGCCACCCTATCTGGGAAATTCTCATAATCATACAGTAGTGGAAATTTGTTTTTGAACTTCACAAATGGGTAACTATTCTTTTTGGAAGTTATATCTTTAAAATACCAAAGAGTCTCTCCTTGAGATTTGTGAATTTATACCTTGAAATATATTCTTTTAAATGGTACCCCCAACACAATCACAAAATTAGAGTTTTACCTAAACCTATTACTTTATTTTTAGAAAACCATCTTAAGGAATTTTCCACTTGGAGAAATAAAATATCTCCCAAAATATCAAAAGAGCAAACCCTTATAAAATAATTGCTCTAAATTTGTGAAAACAGTTAAAAAACAAAACAACACAAAACAAACAAACAAACAAACAAAAAACTCAGCAAGTATTCCGTGCTCTACAGAACCTCTTTAGAAAAAAGAAAAAGTGACTACTAGAACCCAGCAAGAGGTCAACAAATTCCAATAGCTTTTAGCTTATAAACTGAAATCTGTAATCTTAGGAATTTACTGCAGCAGAACGTTATAAATTTGCCCTCAGAATCATAAGATAGATAAAATCATAGTCTGAAAAAAGACTCTTTCTTCCTCTGTGATTCAAGATCAAGGTCCACATTGCTAATTTATGTAAGGGAGTCATTTCCCTATTTATCCATTTATTTATTTGTTTGTTC